AATGGTTTATCAAATCCTTCCAATGATTGCTAAGCCAGAATCCTCTTCTTGGTTGAAATTGTCTCTGTGTTTGTATATGTGGATAGCCTCATGAACGAATGGTAGCCAGATGGCTTGCAAAGAACCTCTGTCTTGGAGAAGTCAATGTCATGTAAACCTACTGAATTATAACAGTGATCTGCCTTCTACGTGACTTTACCGAAAGAACCAAGAATATGAATCCCTGCAGTCACGAAAGCTTTAAATAAAAAAAATACACAGTGTAACCAACCCCATCGTGCTGCCAAACCACAATGGTTTCAAATGTGTGGCGGCCCTCAGCACCGTTGTCTTATAGGCGAAAGTGGGCCCCCCACTGCAAAAATTAGTGAAGAACACCGCTCTAGCGAGTTGAGACGTAGCGAGTTCACGACGCATTCTTCAACGAGAGGGCTCCATCACCTCGTGGAAAATGTCCCCAGAGTACGGCGAGATTCCCAGGTCCAACATCGTCATGGCCTCGATAACTGCATCGTTCACGCAAAGGAAAAACCAAAGACACACGGCGAGATTCAAACAAAAACTAAATTCATGCACAGTGTGACAACTCTTATTCGCGAGTGATTATCCGCAGCCCATAATGGATCAATGACAAACTCATGCAATTATCCGCATTATCACTAAGCAGTTGAGCGGTATCTCTTCATGTGCTTAATGAGTTTTCTCTGAGACCTCCTTTGCCAGTAACAAAATATAGTAATGGGTTTTACCCTTTTAACTGGCACAACAACTGACACTTTTATTCAAGGCATCATGGTTGCAATAACCACAACACAAGCAGTCAAAATGCAAACAAAAGAGACAACTCTGATAATAATATGCACTGTCCTTGAATTTGATTGGTCCACACCCGAGACGGCTTTTCTTAGAGCCTAGTCTCCACTGGTGTTGGACCAGATGATGCCAAAAGGCGTACAACTCAAAAACAGCGCACTATCAAAGTATTGAGGGCTCGGGGTGAGCATTAACATTATGAGACCTCCTTTGCCAGAAACAAGATATAGGAATAGGTTTTACCCTTTTAACTGGCACAAAAACTGACAAGCAGTCATTTTGACTGCTTGTGTTGTGGTTATTGCAAACATGATGCCTTGAATAAAGGTGCCAGTTTTTGTGCCAGTTAAAAGGGTAAAACCTATTACTATATCTTGTTTCTGGCAAAGGAGGTCTCATAATGTTAATGCTCACCCCGAGCCCTCAATACTCTGATAGTGCGCTGTTTTTGCGTTGTACGCCTTTTGGCGTCTTCTGGTCCAACACCAATGGAGACTAGGCTCTAAGAAAAGCTGTCTCGGGTGTGGACCAATCAAATTCAAGGACAGTGCATATTATTATCAGAGTTGTCTTTTTTGTTTTCATTTTGACTGCTTGTGTTGTGGTCATTGCAAACATGATGCCTTGAATAAAGGTGTCAGTTTTTGTGCCAGTTAAAAGGGTAAAACCTATTACTATGAGTTTTCTCTGGTTACTAGTGTCCTCCCAAAGTGCGTTTTTGCGTAGATCCAAGTGCACAGAATGTCCGTCTTGGTACAAGAACGTGCGTTTATCCTAAAATAAAAGAGGCACACCAGGGAGTATGCACCTGTTAGTCGACTCACAAATATCTTTCGATAACAGGATATGTGTGGCTAATTCATCACATTTATCGTCAAATAACCACTGATAAGACGACATGAGAATATCAATGTCACATTATCCCCAACATCAGTGTGGATTAGCGGAGTATTCGCAATTTTAAAACAGGTTTTGAAGGACTGCATTTTTGGCGTTCTGTAATTCACCTCTAGTTTTAGTACGGCCTGGGTTCGAGTCCTGGGTAAGGATATCCCCGTAGGTTCATGATGGCCATGTGAGATTGAATGAGTACCGTAGCCTTGGTTTGAGCAGTGGGTCCGTGTCTCGCTGCATCTTAGGAGGTCAAAACGGCCATTTAAGGCATACATGATCACCGAGGACCTGGATTCGAGTCTGGAGGTTCATAAAGTTATCGCACCTCCCCCCCCTTTACTATCTCTCCCCCCTTGCTCCTCCACCCTCTCTTACCTACACAGCCTCTTGTTACAGCAGCCCTTTTGCCCACTTGAGCAATTGTCTCTTGCCGTGGTTGTCCCACCCGATGACGGACGATAGTGTGTGCGCGCCCGAAACGTCGTGATTTAATTTATTTTTCTACCCACGTGATGGCTTTACCGAAAGAACCAAGGTGTGTGGATCACCTGCAGTCACGAAAAAAAACTTCAAATCGAGATCAAATCTAGAATTGGTTCATAACGAGTCAGCACAACAACCGGCTGCCTGGGCTCGAGATCCGAGTCGTGCTTCTCAGAAGTTGGGTTCACGAGGGCCGTATCAGAGACACCGACTCGGTCAGTGCTCATGGGTCCAGGCCCTCAGGTTCGCGAGGGGCACACCGACTCGGGTTGCCTGTGGGTTCGAGTCCAGAGGGGCGTGGGTCTCTCTGTCCTTCAGAGACATCGCTTTGAGTTCTCCCGGTGCCTCTCTCACGTCCGTGCACTGCACAAAGACTGTCCACCCACCCCCCCACACCGTGCGTGTAGCCTTCACAGACTGTAGGGGCAAGTGCTGTTCGCGGGCAGCAGCTGTGAAGGCCGGCACCGGGCACACGAGATGGGAGGGGGGGTGGGTGGCCAGCAGCACCACCACGCCCGGCCGCCTTTGTCTCCCCCCCCCCCAGTGGCGATGCTTTGACGCACCGCACCAGGCGCTCGTTTTTGAGTCCGCGAGGGCACCAGACGGGGTTCAGGATAATCGTCACCGCGGCGGTGTCGGTGGCCGTGTGAGCGACACCTCACGCGCCGCTCCACTGCTGGATGAGGCTCACCGCGCTTCCAGGCGGTGACGGGCGTCGAGGCCTCGACTCGCTCCGCCGCGAACTCCACGAAGGCCGGTGCGCGGAACAGCGCGGCGCGCAGCGTGACGCCCAGCACGGCGAGCAGCGACAGCGTCGCGACCGCCATGGCCACGAAGAGGAGGAGGGGACGAGGAGGAGGAGGAAGAGGGGACGACGGGGAGCGGCCCCTCGACGACTCCAATCTCGCGGTCGTCAGCTAGCGGGGAGGGAGAGGACAGGTGCCGCGCGGTGACGTCATCTCGCGGCATTACAGGGCGCGACATGATGACAGCGTCAGCAAACGGGAATTGACGTCGTTGTTCACGCGTTGCCGTGACGTCGACATGGCAGCGCGTCGGCTACATGACGTCATCGCCAATATCGCGAGGAGGTGAATCAGAATATGTATTTGTACTGGAGGAATCCGATGAGCTACGAAGCTCTTTTTCACAAAGCATACGATTTTAATCCTTTAAGCACGTAACAACAATAACAAATGTCACACCCACCGCGGCTTTGCATATCCTATCAGCAGCATTGGTTCAACACAAGTAGTCAGTAGTCTGGACTGAATTTTTATTTTAAAGCTTTCGTGACTGCAGGGATTCATATTCTTGGTTCTTTCGGTAAAGTCACCACGTAGAAGGGAAACAATAAAATAATAAAAATATAAAACAATAAAATTCTCACGACGTTTCGACTGCAACACAAGCAATCATCATCAGGTGTGAAAATCACAACAATAATTTTTATTTCGATTTAAAGGTTTCGTGACTGCAAGGATTCATCTTCTTTGGTTCTTTCGGTAAAGTCACGTAGAATGAGAATAAAATAATAAATTGATAAAATAAAATAACACAATAATATTCTCACGACGTTTCGGCCACAACACAAGCGGCCTTCATTTTTATTTTATTGTTTCCCTTCTCCGTGACTTTACCGAAAGAACCAAGAATATAGTCTGGACTGGTTTAAATATTCAACTTAACGTACGCTGATTGCGTCGTTATAACAGTATTGTGCGCTTATATAAGGGGCCGTCCATAAATGACGTCACGCGAGTTTGGACGTTTTTTGACCCCCCCCCCCCTTGTCACACGGCGTCACAAGAAGTCAGACCCCCCCCCCTCAAATATGACGTCACAAAGCTCTGCCCCCCCCCCCCCAAAAAAAATATAAAGCATGCTTCAAATCGCTTTGAACTATTGTCATTGTAGTGCGTATTTAATGTGGCGCTGCGCTCTGATGTTGTAGGAGAAATCATTTATTAAAAAGTCTATTTAATTAAGTAGAACGTCTTCTTTGGTTATTTCGGTAAAGTTACGTAGAATGAGAATAAAATAATAAATTGATAAAATAAAATAACACAATAATATTCTCACGACGTTTCGGCCACAACACAAGCGGCCTTCATCAGGTGAAGGGACGAGACTGTCTGGAGGACAGCGCTGGAGTGAAAAAGCCACGTTCAGATCACGACCTTTAAGCTGTGTCAGAGGAAACAAAGCGCCTTGACAAAGGAATTAGCATATAATTTAGCATTGAAATGGCTGAGTGATTAGCTTGTGACTGGTCACAGAAAATGGCTATGTTAAAGTTAAAGCATACACATCCGCAGAGGCACCCCTTGATCTGAGCGTGGCTTTTTCACTCCAGCGCTGTCCTCCAGACAGTCTCGTCCCTTCACCTGATGAAGGCCGCTTGTGTTGTGGCCGAAACGTCGTGAGAATATTATTGTGTTGTTTTATTTGATCAATTTATTATTTTATTCTCATTCTACGTGACTTTACCGAAATAACCATAGAAGATGAATCCTTGCAGTCACGAAAGCTTTAAATCGAAATTTAAGTAGAACGTGTTGTCTATATTTTTTTTAATTTAAAGCTTTCGTGACTGCAGTAATTCATATTCTTAGTTCTTTCGGTAAAGTCACGTTGAAGGGAAACAACAAAATAATAACGTGACTTTACCGAAAGAACTAAGAATATATATTTTGTTGCGCATTTTGATGTGACGTCACATTTCTCAAACCCCGCCCTCTCGTCACACGACATCACAAATGTCTGACCCCCCCTAGGTGCGTGACGTCATTTATGGACGGCCCCTAAGAGTATTTAAGTGACGTCACGCCGCAGCCTGTCAAATACATGACGTCACCGCGCTGGAATACTTTCAAGGGCGGTGTCAGACGGGCTCGTTCGCTCGCTAGTAAAGTGACGTCCCCCTCCCTCCCTGGGTAAGATGACGTCATTATATATTTTAACCGCTTCGATGACGTCACCGTCGCGAGTTCGAGCGTCACGTCCCCCCCGCCAACCGTCGAGGGAAGCTGTCAGTCGCCTCGCGCCCGCACTTCCGCCCCGATTCAAATCTTAACGGTCCGAGCCGCCGCCGCTGCTGCCGCCTCGCTCATTGGAGTGAAGGCGGAGCGCGCAAGAAACAACAACATCATTTACAACAACAACATTTACACTGCTGCTGCTGCTGCTATAACGACAGCGGAGGGTCAACCGTCCACGGGGCGAAGATGGACGAGGCGGAGCGACGCGAGAACGAGGAGGCGCTCGCGCAGATGAATGCGCGCCTGCAGAAGCTGCACGAGAACAGGCGGGGAATCGCGGCGGCGGCGGCGGCGGCGGCGGCCACGGCGAACCAGGAACCTAGCCTGGCACCGCGTGATGGCGGAGGAGGTGGAAGTCGCGGCAGAGGTGGCCTCGGAGGTGCGGGCCTCGGAAGCGGTGGGAGATCTGGAATAGATGAGCCTGCGAGGAGTGGAGGAGGACTCTTTGAATTAATGGGAGTACCGATGCTGTGGAAACCACCTGGCGGATCAGCGGGCGCTGGAGGGGTCGCGGGATCCGGAGACTCCGCACCAGAGCCCGGAGAATCGACACGAGAGCCCGGAGGAGTTCCGCCAGCGCCTGCAGCCGACGTCACGGGCGGCGACACCAGCAGCGCGACTCCACCGTGCCTCGGTCCAGCCGGACCCGACGAGTGGCTGCGCTTCCTGAACCGCGAGCGGCTGCGTTGGGAGGCGAGCGACCGCAGCTCCAAGGGCCTCTTCCGCCTCTGCCTCCTCTACGCCGAGTGCCTGGAGACCGTGGACGCGAGCACCACGGGCAGCGACCGGAGGAGCTACGCGGAGCTCCACGTGCAGTACGCGCAGCTGCGGGCGGCGCTGGACCCCGGCGAGGGCCGCGTGCAGTTCGACCACGCGCGCGTCGCCTGCCGCCGGGTGGCGCGCGTCCACGTGGCGGCGGCGCAGTTCGCGCTCGACCACGGGCCCGGGGTCGACAAGAGCGCGTCCATCCTGCGCAAGGCGAGGGAGGCGGGCGCCGAGCCGCGCTCCCTCCTCGACGAGGCGTTCAGGAGGCTGCGCGCCGGCAACAAGAGGCTCATCTCGCCGGCACACGACAAGGAGAACGTCGTCCCCGTCGTCCCCGTCGTCCCTGCCCCTGCCGCCGGGCTTGTCTCGCAGTTAGCCCCGCCGACTCCCGCGCAGGTGCAGGGCGAGGAGAAGAGCGATGGCCGGAGAGCGGCGACGTGGGCCAGGCGAATTGGCGGCGGCGGCGGCGGTGGCACCGATGCCGCTGCCACCGTCGAGATCAAGATGCAGCAGCTGCAAATCGGGACGTTGCTGCGAAACGCTGCGGACTTGCAAAGTAACGTGGCCACTCCGACGGTATTACAATCCAGAGAGAACTTGCTTGCGGCGAAAGCGGTGAGCCGCAACCTCCAGGTGACCGCCACTCCGTCTTCCGGCCACAACAACACCACCACCACCGCAGCAGCGGCAGCAGCTACTGCTGCCGCTGCTGCTCCTGCCGGCTTCGTCCCGAGCAGCGCCGTGGCTACGGCGGGCCACGGTGCCCGCCAGACGCCGCTTCGGAGCGCCGCGGTCGTGGACGGCTCGACCCTGGGCCGTGGCTGCGGCGGCGAGGACGGTGGCCGGCCTCAGCCTGCGGCGAGCGCGGCGCGCGGGGAGAAGCGAAGCTCCTGCCGCAGCCAAGACGAGGAGGAGGCGGCAGCGGCGGCGGCTCCGATCCCAGGCGGCGGCGGAGGAGGAGCCGGTGAGGAGTCCGACGCGGGCAGCGCAAACGTCCGCGGGGATCCGCGCCTCCGCCCGTCCGATTGCAAACGCGGGCAGCAGGAGTCTGACGGACACCCGTCGGCCAAGCGGATACAGAAACTTCCTCCGCACAGGCCGCCACCACCACCGCAGCAGCAGCAGCACGAGCAGCTACAGCAGCAGCAGCAGCAGCTCGCGCGACGTGTCGACGTTCCGCAGCCGCAGCCCGTGTGGACGGCTGATCCTCAGCCCCGCCGGCTCGAGTCGGACCAGGCGAAGTTGCAGGACCCTCCGGGAGAACCTCTCAAGCAGCAGCAGCAGCAGAGGCTGCAGGAGGAGTTGGCGTGGAGGGAGGGCAAAGGGACCGTGACGGTGAAGGGGAGGCCCTACTGCCTGTTGAACTTGATCGGCAAGGGCGGCGGCGGTAAGGTGTACTCGGCGCTCGACACGCAGCGGCGCGTCATCCGCGCCGTGAAGTACGTGTCGATGTCGGAGGGCACGGCCGAGATGGCGGACGCCTACGACGAGGAGCTGAAACATCTGAAGCGGTTGCAGCACCTGACCGACAAGATCATACAGCTGGTGGAGCACGAGGTCACGGAGCGGTGCACCTTGATGGTGATGGAGCTGGGCAGCGTGGACCTGCACACGTGGCTGCGCAAGACGGGGCGGCCCGCGGCGCACAAGCGGTGCTTCTTCTGGCACGAGATGGTGCAGGTCGTGGCGGCCATCCACAAGGAGGGCATCGTCCACGGTGACCTCAAGCCGGCCAACTTCGTGTTCGTGGAGGGCAACATCAAGCTGATCGACTTCGGCATCGCGAAGGCGTTGCGGGCCGACGTGACGAGCAACGTGATGCAGGTGGCCGCGGGCACGCTCAACTACATGGCGCCCGAGATGTTCGGGACGGCGGCCAAGGTGGGGCCCAAGAGCGACGTGTGGGCCCTCGGCTGCATCCTGTACCTCATGACTTACGGAAGCCTGCCCTTCCACAAGTTCAGCTACTGGGAGAAGATGAAGTTTATCTGCGACCACACGTGGCCCATCCCATTCCCCGAGGTGGACGACGACGCCGAGTTGGTGGACGTTCTCAAGAGGTGCCTCGAGAGGGACAAAGAGCGGAGGATGTCTGCGGTTGAGGTTCTGCAGCACCCGTACCTAAAGCCGCAGCGACGGGGCAAGTGAGCGGACTCTTAGGCGAAGCGGCGTTTTTCACGAATTTTCAGAGAGGTGGTGGTGGGGGGGGGGGGGCCCACTTTCGCCCATAAGACATCGTCAGCGTGAGAGCCCCTCCGGATGACGATCATGTGAGATGTTTTGACATGTTGTGTATTGTCCGGGGCCGCACTCAAGTCCACCAGGGGCCTTGCAACGAAGAACCCTGGGCCAGAGGAATGGAAGTGTGTGAGGTGCTTGCGTGACAGGTGGAAGTGCGTCTGAAAGAACGAGGGTGGGTATATTGTGCACAGCATGAAATGTTTGGTTGGAGAACCGATACAAATTACAAGCTGTAACGTTTTTTTTTTGGGGGGGGGGGAGATTTTGTTGTTGAAAAAGCCCTCCTGGAGGTGAAATACTGACGTGTGCGCCAGTTTAGCACGTCGATTTGTAATGGACATTGTCGCCCTTGCGAGACTTGTGATTGCTGTCGCGTTACATTTGGATTTGCGTTTAAATTGGCTGAAGTCCACATCCGATAACTTAAACCGTCACGTGACGAGCCTCGCTCTTAACGCAGAGCGAGTTGGAAAGGCGTTGGCTCAAGAGTTCGCTCGAACGAATCTCGGAGGTAGCTCTGCGTTATCCGGTTCTGCGGGTCATCCTCCCAGCGCAAGGGGTCGCTCTGCGAGAGATCCGATGGATACTGACATGGCACCGGTTGTGCAATCGGGATAACATTGGGGGGGGGGAAGTGATAAAAATAATAACACATCGTGATGCACCCCACACCTGAGCTAGCCCGGTATTTCATGGACTCGCTGTGAATGCAATCAAAACCACGCAGCCCTCGTGCACAGATCTACGCTGGCAATTACGAAAACTCGCGACGTTCGCTGCCATAAGCACAGCCTGAATCATTGGCCATGATCATCATCATCACAGCTGGGTGAAGGGGCCTCCCTCATGGCCATCGTAAATTGTTGTACGATGCCACAACCCACTTGGTCGCGGCGCGTGAGTTTGTCCTCATAGTTCCTTGTCCACAGTGGTTGACCTCTTGAACGTGTCATCTCCTCCGGCTTCCATTCGTCACTGACTATATCCCCTTCCAGCGACGCGCATTTCCGACAACTTGACTGAAAGTCGATTAAATTAATTACTTTTGTTTTTGTGCGTTGGTGTTGCCCTGTCGGTCTATTTTTCTGCACTTGCCATCATTTGTCGTAGCACCTTTGCCAATGTTCATGTTTCTGATCGATGCATCATAGTGGGGGAGTGCACTGATTTAATACTTGAGGCTTCTGGCACATTTCCATGTTGCTTTTCACGACTCCAAAGTGACTAGTCAGCTTTCATTCACCCCCCCCCCCCGGGTCTGCTTGCAGTTTGCCCCCCTTGGTGTAAATATATTATACGTTTTGATTTAAAGCTTTCGTGACTGCAGGGATTCATATTCTTGGTTCTTTCGGTAAAGTCACGATTCCCTTCTACGTGACTTTACCGAAAGAACCAAGACTATATATGATACGTTGTTCGACGTGCCTCGTAACAATTACTTTTGTTTGTATAGTACTGCCTTATAACGGAGACATTCACAATATTTTAGAATATAATTGAGAACAGTTAATATTTTTTTTGACATAGCAGAAATTAAGTCCCGGATTCTGCACCGTTACTGCTACAGCAGTGCACTGCATTCTAAGGTTGGCTCGTGATTTTGAGCGGTGTTTTCATTCGACCTTTTGTGTTGATTGTATATAAAATTGTATAGCATAAAAGTGATATGAATACTATTACAATTGGGGGCGTTTAATTAAATAACGGTGTTTTTTTTAAGAGGATCGAAATGCCGGGAGTGCGAACCATCCACGACTTATCCCGGCATTTCAAGCACGTGCTGTACGAGAGCTGTGATATTAGACCATTTGAAAAATGTGTTCCTCGACCGATAACTATCGGTTCGATTACTCAATCAATTGAAGATGATTGTCTGGGCTAGGTGACGTCATCGTCCGCATCGATGTGGGGGTTTCCAGCCTTCGTCAGGCCCAAGTGAGATTGGTCACAAAACTTTTGTGGGACAATTGTCTAAATCTTCCCGGCTCTACGCTGCGATCAACGCGCTGACCGGATGGGGTGTTCCCACACTTTACCTCGCCGCAAACCTCCTACTTAACTGTGTATAATTTTGTTTCGAAAGACAATGGCATGGGCTAATATAAACCCTGCTGAACATTTACGAAAAGAGCGTCTTTGTTTCGAGAAAGCTTTCATGGTGATACAATGGAATGTACATAATTCTCTTTGGGGATTCACAAACGTTTTCTCTGCACTGTATAAAAACAGCTGTGAAGTAACACAAATGACTGTTAAAACAGTTTTGTCATTGATTCATAGCAGCCAATGTTAACCCTCTCACGGCATACCGATTTTTTTCAAAGCAAAAATCGCGTCGATTATTTTCACTTTTCGAGCATTGTAATTTGAGCGGTGGATTCGCCTTGAAAAATAGGTGCGCTGTAAATGTCCTTAAACAGTGGCCTACTTGCCTCTCTCTGTCTGCTATGAAAGATGTACGTATTTTTAGTTGTGTGTAAACCACTGGTGATACTAACATTGTTTTGGACTAACACCGGGCGGTGTATATATTATTGCCTGTTCAGCATACGCACATTTCCTGGGCAGTATAACATGGAAACTGATCGTGGCCAGTCAAGACCTATCGGCGAAATAAAAACGCGATGAGCATTTTAGTAAGCTATACAATTTGCTGATTATTACGACTCTTCTGACCTCCGGTATCATGATGCACGTTTCGAATAAAGTTGTGTAAATGCTAGCTTCATGAAGCATCCGCTATATATACACGTGTTCTTCACTCGTTTTCACAAACGTGCGAGGGCCGCCACATTTGAAACCATTGCTGGGTTCGATAGCACGATGAGGATGATGGGAGTGGTGTTTTCACACTTTTGCGTATTGTCAGGCTCCACACTAAAGGCCACCAAGGACCAGCCAGTGACCCACGGTGCCTTGCAACGGAGAACACTGGAGCACACACAATATATTCTTGTTACATTTGTCGTGCAGTAGAACGACACTACTGTGTTGGCTCGGTATGGGGAGCTGTCACGGAGGACGTCACGGAGGTCGTGTCAGGCCGTGGACACTCTGCGTGAACCCAACAGGACACGTGACCGGATAAAGGGGGGGCCAGGGGGGTCACGTGGTTGGGGGCTCGGGCCTTCCCGAAGGATCGAGAAGGGAGGCGTGGCCTGGGGCGGAGCTGGCCACGCCCGAGTGGTTTATAAGCCGGGTGTGAACTGTTTCTGGGGGCTGTTCTGCTGGGTCAACTCTGGGATGAAGCCACCATCTACGGTCTCCGGTCCAGACATGTAGTATCCCCCCGTGTGTTAGCAAAGTTAGGAACGGTGGTTACCAATCTATGTCGTTATCCTGTTAACGTCAAAGAGTTACCCGTTGTATTCTTAGCTCTTTCGGTAAAAGTCACGTTGAAGGGAAACAATAAAATAATAAAATATATTGTTTTATATATATTTTATTGTTTACCTTCAACGTGACTTTACCGAAAGAGCTAAGAATACGAATTACTGCAGTCACGAAAGCTTTAAATCAAAAAGTTACCCGTTGTGTTTAGATAGTAAAGTGTTGCCTGAAAAGTTCCAGTGTGCGCCTGAAAATGAACCCACGACACATTGCCGCTAGGCGGCTAGGGAGAGGGATAGATGTGTGGTCCAATCATTGCAAAGCCAGCCCTTGCCCGATGACCAGTCACCCACACACCTCTCCGTGATGCTGAACGCAACGCCAACTCTGCAGTGTCCAAGCGAGGGGTGGAGCCTAAGTGTGAGGGGGCGGGGCCTAGAAGAGCAACGGTGGAGCCGAGAGGAGCAGATGGTGGGGGAGTGGCCTGCAAGATGTACGTCGAAGTAGTAACATCGAACTAGTAACGAAATGGCACGTTCCGTTTACGTGACAACCCCTACTAATTGGCTGTGCCGGGTTTAACGACACATTTACGCGATCTAACACAAAAGAAAACCTGTGTTTTGTACGTGGGACTTGAGGATCGGTCGAGCATCCCTGTTGAATTTTGACTAAAACGTTCGTGACTGCAGGCATTCATTTTCTTTGGTGCTTTTGGTAAAGTCATGTAGATAGAAAAAATAAAAATGCCACGTTTCGATCGCAACACAAGCGGTCGTCATCAGGAAAAGGGGTGAGCCTCTAAAGGCAATCTGTTTATAAAGGTCTGGAGATGCGCGTAGCCCAAGTGTGGCAGCAGCAGCAATGCCAATGCAGCAGCAATGGCAATGCAGCAGCAATGCAGCAACAGCAGCAATGGCAATGCAGCAGCAATGGCAATGCAGCAGCACCAATGCCAATGCAACAGCAATGCCGATGCAGCAGCAATGCCAATGCAGCAGCAATGCCAATGCAGCAGCAATGCCAATGCAGTAGCAATAGCAATGCAGCAGCAATGGCAATGCAGCAGCAGCAATGGCAATGCAGCAGCAATGGCAATGCTGCAGCACCAATGCCAATGCAACAGCAATGCCGATGCAGCAGCAATGCCAATGCAGCAGCAATGCCGATGCGGCAGCAATGCCAATGCAGTAGCAATGCCAATGCAGCAGCAGCAATGGCAATGCAGCAGCAATGGCAATGCAGCAGCAATGCAGCAGCAATGCCAATGCAGCAGCAGCAATGGCAATGCAGCAAAGGGCCGCCAGGAAATCCCTGCACCCCGCTCCACACACCACACTGATGACGGTGGAGGTTGATTGACAAGAAAACGCAAGTTCAAGCCATGACCCAAAGTGGTTGATGACATCTTTCCAACGATTGCTGAGTCTATAACCTGATTGGTATGACCTTAGAGTCGCGGCATCTCTTCTGCTGCTGCTGATCCACTTAGGCTACGCCCATCTCCAAAACCTTTATAAAGAGTTTGCCTTTAGAGGTTCGCCCCGTTTACTGATGACGACCGCTTGTGTTGCGATCGAAACGTCGTGGCATTTTTATTCACTTTATTATTATTTCTATCTCCGTGACTTTACCGAAAGAACCAAAGAATATGTATCTCTATTGATTTAAGGATGACCTTTCGCAAGGCCGTAACTATAATAAATATTGGGGGGGGGGGACGCATCCCCCCCCCCCAATATTCAAATATGCTAACAATGCCCCCCCCAATATATTGCTATAAAAAAGTAATAATTGCGATGCTATGTAAATAAAAACAATTTGCTAAACCTTGGCCACAATATCTGGACGTGTCTTCATATAACAATGCATAGATTTCTGTTTATATGATTGTGGTTATGGTAGTAGTACTTTATGAATCCGTAATCTCTGCCATTACATACAATGAAACAAGAAAATGTAAAAAATAAAAGAACAGAGCAATGTAATACAATAACACCATTAGACATTGTAAAAAAAAAAACTAAAAAGTCCATCCCATGTGTTCGTGAATTTTTTAATATTTTAGGCAGGACATGTCAAGAAATGAGTTTACAAATGTAGATTTTTTTTTTAGTTGGGACCCCCTGGGAGGTTTGGTCCCCCCCCTCCAATGTTGACTCCATGGCTACGGCCTTGATCATCCGTAAGGCTCATGGTGGCGTAGATGCAGAGAGGAACGATGGCAATTTCACATTTTGGGTGGGTCAAGCCAGACGAGCGCGCCAGGAGCAGCGGAGCGTATCGCGGTGGCCTCATCCCGTTTGTTTTAATCGAGCTATTGCGTTGTTATATATATGTGCTGTACGCTCCGTTTCTTCTCATCAATACGCGCGACAGGTAGTGGGCATGGCTTCACGGCTGCGGGTGACGGCCACAGGCTGCCGAGTTCAACTCGATGTATCGTGGCCACGTCTTCCCAACATCACGCCTTCTTCAATCGGCCACTCGGCACTGCAGTGTCTCACGACAATGCCGATGTTTCTATTTGCGTGCGGCAAAGCGGGTTTAACGGAAGGCGTGTAGCAATGCATCGATTTCATTCAAATGTGTTTTTACGCAGGGTGCGTGCATCAAATTATTGGCATTTTAATGTGTGGAAATTATATGCTGCTGTTCCGTGTTAGATATTCTTCCGTGCCATTACCACATTCCGACTCGGCTACTGTAATTTAACGATCGCACTCACCGCCAATATCATCCACACACTCATCTCACTCCACTCCCCTCCACACACTCATCTCACTCCACTCCACTCCCCTCCACATACTCATCTCACTCCACTCCACACACTCATCTCACTCCCCTCCACACACTCATCTCACTCCACTCCCCTCCACACACTCATCTCACTCCACTCCCTCCACACACTCATCTCACTCCACTCTCCTCCACACACTCATCTCACTCCACTCCCCTCCACACACTCATCTCACTCTACTCCCCTCCACACACTCATCTCACTCTACTCCCCTCCACAGACTCATCTCACTCTACTCCCCTCCACACACCCATCTCACTCCACTCCACTCCCCTCCACACACTCATCTCACTCCACTCCCCTCCACACACCCATCTCACTCCACTCCCCTCCACACACTCATCTCACTCCACTCCCCTCCACACACCCATCTCACTCCACTCCCCTCCACACACTCATCTCACTCCACTCCCCTCCACACACCCATCTCACTCCACTCCCCTCCACACACTCATCTCACTCCACTCCCCTCCACACACTCATCTCACTCCACTCATCTCACTCCACTCCCCTCCACACACTCATCTCACTCCACTCCCATCCACACACTCATCTCACTCCACTCCCCTCCACACACCCATCTCACTCCACTCCCCCCCACACACTCATCTCACTCCACTCATCTCACTCCACTCCCCTCCACACACTCATCTCACTCCACTCCCCTCCACACACCCATCTCACTCCACTCCCCTCCACACACTCATCTCACTCCACTCCCCTCCACACACTCATCTCACTCCACTCATCTCACTCCACTCCCCTCCACACACTCATCTCACTCCACTCCCATCCACACACTCATCTCACTCCACTCCCCTCCACACACCCATCTCACTCCACTCCCCCCCACACACTCATCTCACTCCACTCATCTCACTCCACTCCCCTCCACACACTCATCTCACTCCACCACCCCCCCCCCCCCCTCCACACACCTATCTCACTCCACTCCTCTCCACTCATCTCACTCCACTCCCCTCCACACACTCATCTCACTCCACTCCCCTCCACACACTCATCTCACTCCACTCCCCTCCACACACCCATCTCACTCCACTCCCCTCCACACACTCATCTCACTCCACTCCCCTCCACACACCCATCTCACTCCACTCCCCTCCACACACTCATCTCACTCCACTCCCCTCCACACACCCATCTCACTCCACTCCCCTCCACACACTCATCTCACTCCACTCCCCTCCACACACTCATCTCACTCCACTCATCTCACTCCACTCCCCTCCACACACTCATCTCACTCCACTCCCATCCACACACTCATCTCACTCCACTCCCCTCCACACACCCATCTCACTCCACTCCCCCCCACACACTCATCTCACTCCACTCATCTCACTCCACTCCCCTCCACACACTCATCTCACTCCACCACCCCCCCCCCCCCTCCACACACCTATCTCACTCCACTCCTCTCCACTCATCTCACTCCACTCCCCTCCACACACTCATCTCACTCCACTCCCCTCCACACACTCATCTCACTCCACTCCCCTCCACACACTCATCTCACTCCACTCCCCTCCACACACTCATCTCACTCCACTCCCCTCCACACACATCTCACTCCACTCCCCTCCACACACTCAT